TAAGATCAAGAGAACAAATGATACCAAATGTTGGATGGGATGTGGGGAAAGTGGAACACTCATCCACTGCTGATGGGGCTGCAAACTTGTTCAACCTCTATGGAAAGCAGTGTGGACAACTCTTAAAACTGACGAGTGGATAATGAAAATGTGGTTCATTTATATGATGGAGTTTTACTCAGCAGTAAAGAAAGATGAAATCAGGAAATTTTCAGGTAAATAGATGGAACTAGAAACAATTATACTAAGTGAAGTAACACAGACTCAGAAAAAAATTCAATGTATGTTCTTCCTCATATGTGGATCCTAAAACCAAATCCTGATAAGTGAGTACATATCCAGACATAACTACTGGAACCAGGAAAATGGAAAGGAACCTGGGAGGTAAAGGAAAAGAAAGAACCTTAAAGAGAACAGTAGGAAACAGGCGTTAATAAGGGAGATATGGATTAAAAATTGGGTTAGTTTAAGGGAGAGGGGAGGGAAGGATATACAAGGAACCTAGGGGATAAAGGGAAAGAAGGAGCTCAAGAGATGTAGGACCATAGGAGAAGGGTATTAGTAAGGGAGAAAGGGGGAAAATAGGGGTATCTTAAGTGGGAAAATCATGATGGAGGGTTTAGACAATGCAAGAGATAAATAATGCCTAGCTAGTTTTAAAAACCAGAAGAAACCATATTACTCCAACAACCTACTGACAAATTATACATACCAGATCAAGAAATATATGTCTAGGTGAGGTTTATCTGAGAACAATGGGTCTTTGCCCAAGATTTATCTACATGGCACACAGAAATTAAAAGTACCAGACTGGTGAACTAAACTTCTTGGGTGTTTAACAGACATACTTCGAGGCATATACTAATTTGGTCAGAGGGACATAAAGGACAGTTTTTGCTCCTTCCCCTCCTAGGTCAACTAGTTCCAGGGGACTATAAGCATCTCCCAAAATGTCCTGTAATTGTGGTGGGTCACTTGTCCTCTTGATCAAGGAGGCTGAGAAGACTGGACGAGATGAACATGAACCAGTGTCCAGTCTACAAAGAGGGTCAACACGGAGGAAACATTTCCTGTATGCTTCCAAGTGAAGCCAACCATGGTCGAGCAGGACCTTTAACTTATCTTCACATAGGCAGAACTGGTAAAAGAAAGGAGCCAGAGGCTCCTCCCAAGCCCATGTGACCCCTGAGGAACAGATCCTCAAATGACCTTAAGAGTGAAAATAAATTGGTTTATCTGGGCCAAGTGTATGGCCTTAAACACCCAAAAGAAAAGTATAACCAAAGATTAAAGGGACCAATATAATTTCTTAAGAGTCCATATGCATAGCTAAAGGCTACATAACAAGCAACAATGCCAGATAGGAGATACCTTCTTTTGGGTTGTTGGCCAGGGTGGCCAAAGGGACTCCCAGATAGTAACCCAGCATAGAACTGGGAAAATTAACAGACCCCAATCTTATCTAAAGGAATATTGACAACTGATTCCTGCTAGATGAGGAACAGCTGACCCTCCTAAAACAAAGACCTCTAGAAAGGCTGACTAGATTCACCAGATGGACAAGTAGTAGGGAACGTCTGCGGGTGCTGACAACACAGCAGACAGTAGAAGGGATAATGGAGTATAAGGGCTCTAGTGGGGGGAGGGAGGCTATGGGAGGGTGCTACCTGGGAAGTGGGTATATAGTTGAATAAGATGGTTTGGGATGTTCTGTGTGATATACACACACAGAAAAAAAAATCAACAAATTTTAAAAACTGTATTATATTTGAGGAGGAAGCATTAAAGTTTACATCTGTTAATTGGTAGAGGTGATGAACATTACCATTCAAATCTACCTGATGACTTTATAGACATACACAGGCACCAAGGATCCAAGTGCAACTGATTATGACTAGTAATAATTAGATACACACAGATTAGAGATGCATGCACCAACATCTCAGTGTTAGTAGCAAAAACAATGAGTCTTTCTGCAAGGAACAATATATTCTAAAATGAAATGGAGATCTTCTTTAAAGCGTAAAAACTCATTCAATTTTATGTCTTACAGGGCTTGTACTGAGTTCAATATTGTATAACTGTATTGATTCAACAGCGAACCTAGATATTTTACA